AAGACAGACACATAAAAGGTATGAGAATTAAATCTTGCAGAATCAAGAATCTGGGAAAGCCAGCTGACCTTGGCAAAGCTGAGTGTCCACTAAACTAATGCAATTATTAGTCTCTCGAAATGCAATGCCATTTTGACATTAACTCTCAGTTCACTAAATGCCAGAATTCAGCCCTGCATCCTAATCAGCAGCTGCTTAATCATTTTTACATTTTTTAATTGAGATTTTCCAGCAAGTGTAGGAGTTTGAAAATAAAAAGTTGCATATTTGCAGCTCTCTAAATTCAAAGTTCTCTGGATGAAGCACAACTTACTATCCAGCTGCATATTCAGAGACATTCAAGCAGCAAATGAACAGGAACTTTCCCTTCTGGTCTCCTACAGCCACATAACCAGAGTGAAAGAAGAAGGAATATGCTGTAGTCCAAAAGAGCTATAGGCCAGCTTGCTCAGCTCTTTGTAAGAAATAACACAAGACTCACTTTAAGCAATTTTTCTCTGAGTTTTCTCAGGAAGTAACACAAAGATACAGAGTCCACAGCTAACACACATTCACACTTGATGCACTGGTTCAACCTAGCCATGAAGATCAGTAAGTTTGAAAAGCAGTAAACAAATTTTGTAATTTTTTTCAGGCTAGGTCAAAAGTACCCGTCAAATTTTTATTTCTTTTTAAGCCAAAAATGCACTTAATCGCCCAGACAAGGTGGTACATTACTATACACTGAACAATCAAGAAGCATTAACAAAGGGTATTCACTTCGGGATACCAACCCAAAGCTGCTTCTTAAGACATCATCTTATTCTTTGAAGGATGGTATTTGCAATATAGACTTAGAAGCCTTGCATATTTTTATTCAAGCCTTTCAAGAGAGATGTCCCCAACCACTGTGTACCTTCGACAGTCACTAAACAAAACAAAACCCTTTATTATTTACCAAGTAATTAATCAGCTGCATATAAGCATCAGCTTACTACAAATACACAGCAAAAGCACTGTTCAGTTTAAAAGCTGTATAGAAATCCACTAGCTAATAAGCATTCTGTTGCCAGTTTACTTCCAGTGTTACTGAATTGTCAGAACAAATTAATAAAATCTGTTAAGTATTTGACCTGTACAGACTAAGATTTTTTTTTTTAAGCTACAAATGGTAAAGATTTCCAACACGAATGTTTTAGAAGGCTCCACATATCAAGCACATGCAGAGTACTTTAAGGCACAAAAAAAATCTCATCAAGCACATATGCAAGAGCATGTCAACACTGGTCATTAAACTAGGTCACTGTGCTGGGAAAAGAAAGGCCTTCACAGCCCCAACAAGACATGGCTGTGCAAGCACTGGCAAATAAAAACAGAAAAGAAGCTGGAATGAAAATTGCCAAGTAGATGCCAGAACCATTTTGCTCTTCAAAACAAAACCTTAGTTCAATTTGAAGAGTTCTAATCAATAACCACTGAATGAAAAAATTTCTCAGTAGGAGAACAGCTGCTCCTATATATTTGCAAACATGTAATTCAAAGCAGAATATGCTGAAAAAAATGTATTGGAATTTGAGTCCCCAGTATAACTCTTGGAGGCTTTAACTCATGACACCAATTTAGTTAGCATGCAACAAGTTAGTGTGTGGATTATAACGTAGATTAACCTTTTCCCAGGGCTCTGTTAAACTCCTCATTGAGGGATGTGACTAGTAATACAAATTCCTTTTGCTGCACACACACAAAACCAGACAATAACAAAGATTTATATTTAGACAAACATCAGCCTTATTCTCATACCATTTCATTATTTTTTTAATCACTAGATAATAAGTAAGTGAGATGAACGTGGCAAACCTAAAACTAAATGTGACAAGGTATTTTTATGACTATGTGAGCAAGGCACAGGCAAACAAGTCATGTACTGAACTGAAACAGTCGTATATATGAAAAATGTGATCAAGCAATGTTCACAGATCTGGAAACTTCCATAGGCAGATGCAACTTCGAAAAAGACTTCAAAGACTCAGCTTGCTTGAAGTGCCAATGTACTATCAAGGTACTATATTGGTCCATAAATTTCAAAATATATTCAAAAACATACTTTAAGGCAAAACAGGTAACTTGTTAATAAGAACTGGCAATTTGTACAGAAGAAAATACAGGAAACAAAGCTCTTCAAGATAAAAATCAGAAGACAGAAACTGAAGCTAGACAAACTCAGACGAGGGAGGCACAAAAAGTTTAACAGGGAAATTATTTAAACACCGCAATAAACAATGTAAAGAATTTACCAAGAAATAAGTTGGAATCTTTGTCACTGAAATAACCTCACGCACAGTTGGCAATTCTCCCCAAAATGCCTCCTAATTCAAACAGTTGTCAATGCAAGAAGCTCAAGACAGACGTGTCAATCACAATGATTCCTTTTGGCCTTACTGGAAGAGAATTTATTTTTTTAAATTGTCACAAAAGTAGACCATAAGAAACATTCTGCTCCTAATCAAGAAGCTATATGCTCAGGTCACCAAAATAATAAGTGATTCCTTAGTCCACTTAAGATACAAATAATCTCTTATAGATAAAAAATATACACTGCCTTTGACAGGACATTATAGTACATGACAACACACAGAAATGATTTTCATTTTTTGATGTCAATTAGCTTTATATAATCATACTCTGCATGTAACAGGATTCTTTTTTCTCTAAACACATCAGCATCAGTTATAATTTTAAGACAGAAATGAGCCATTTTGACTAAATCTTCACTCTAACACATAAAATAAAAGGAAGTTGGAATTACACCCTCCCCAAATTCTTCAGCCACCAGACCCTCACACAGTGGAACAGTGCTGACACCTGCCGGCCAGGGCGCGCTGTGCAGCCCCAGTGAGAAGGAATTTCGGATGGAATAAGATTTTGTGTTGCAGTACACAAAAAACACGGCATGTTGGCCTCATGATTGAGATGTTTGGCATCTAATTATATTGGTTTAACGTATTAAGAGTTGATCTGGTGAAATACACAGGGAAAAAATAGCTGCTCTATGAGCTCCTCATCAGGTGCTGCTCAGCCAGAGGCTGTTAAAACCTATGGTTGAGGACTTTAAATCATCAGTGTTAATGACTGTAACATCCAGTTTACAGAACTGATGCCAAGGGCCTATCAAAATATTAAAAGCTTGGCAAATTATTCAAAGAGACACTCAGGAAAGCCAAAAAAAAAAATTCTTGCGTGCATGCATTTCCCAGTCAACAGATAAAACAATTTCTTCTATGCAGCTTAACGTGAGGACACTGTCATAGCATTGATTAGAGAGAAATTTAAAAATATTTTGCCAAAAGGCAGTACAGTAAAGGCCCAAAAATAAAATCCCTCAACTGCCAAAAAACCACCCCCCCTCTCTGCTCTGACTGCACTCCTCAGTGAAATACTCGCCTTCAGTAAAAGAATCACCTCCCCAACAGAACAGGGACATCAGCAGCCTTAGCCACTGAACAGTAAAGTCAGTTTTGAGACCCTTAAATTTAGGGTGTATTTGGTGGAAAAGCCTCTGTCAATACTAATAACTCGTACATTCAAAGAACAAAATGGAGACAAGTGATATAACAAACACAAATATGAAGATGATTAAAAGCTGGAATAAGAGTTACTGAAGAGGTTGCACAAGGTCTATTCCATTCATAAAAAATAAATGCCCTGCTAGCTTGTAGGTCTCAGCAATGGAGGCCAAAACACCAGCTAACAGCTTTTTCAGTCTGCATCATCACCCCAGACCAACATCAGCTGGTATCAGCAAACATATGGAAAAATATGAATGTCACTTTTGATCCTTTCTCTGAAAAAATGTCCTGGGAAAACGAAGTTAATTAGATCATTAAAAAAAAAAAAAAAGTGCAAACACCAATTGGATACAAAACCTGCCAATTTTTACAAGTCATTCTAAAAAAGTGACAGAAGAGTACAAAAGTGATGGCATGAAACAATTCTAGGATGCAGGCCACAAAATCAAGGTTATTATTCCACCAGGAGAAGATGTCTACTTACACAGGATGATTAGGATGCACCAAATAATTTAGTAAGATGAGGAGCCTGGTGCAGGGGAAGTTGAAGAGGTTTTACTTTATATATGCGTTAGTCAGTAGAAAAAAAAGTAGATACTGAAACTCAGTCATTATGCAAATTACACATTTGATTTAACAAAAAATATAAATGTGAATAAATATTTGTGTGTTTTGTTTTGTGCGAGGATTAACAATTATCTTTTATTCTGAAGACGAGAGGTGAAATTTTTCCTGGAACAGTCAAGCTCTAAAGTCTAAAGTTCTGAAGCCTTAAAAAAAGATTTGCTTCCTTGGGTAATGTATTTCCAAGTTATTCCTGCACTTTCCACGTATCAAAACTCAGATAAACAGAAAGGTAACAGATTCTCAGGACTACATTTGTCCCTCTTCAACAGTAGTCAGTATAATAACATTAGCCTAAACTGGTAACTAAAAATGTTACATCAAAATCACTGTTTTGACAGAACACAGCTATCAGTGTCCCTACTTTAATTTCTTGGATTTTGTACAAATTAGAAACTTTAAAGGGTAAAAATTAATCCTGCTTTTTGGTCCACTGGTTCCAAAGAAGTAACCTTTATTTCACACTGAGTATCATGGCACGCAGAGGCAATCTGCTTGATCCACTGCACCAACACAATAACCCCAAACTACAGACCTAATCAATGCCAAAAACAAGCTCGTACCTTAAATCACCTTTAATTGTAACAACTTTTATCGAGACTTATCACATAAGCAGTATCACACCAAGAGCCCTGGCTGCTGTTTGGGAAATTAACTACTGCTGTGTTACATCTGAAGGATGACAGGCGTTTCTGTGAAAGTCACCCCCACAGAACAGGAATGAACTTAATAATCCAAAAAAAACCAGTGGAACAGCTTCTTTCAGATTAACAACTAAATACATTTACACTTTTGGAACTTGTAAAAACCTGTGAAGGAGCTGCCACTTACTCTGTGTGGCCCTGAAAGACATTCACAGAATGGATAGAAGGATCTCTGAAATCCCACAGGCGGAAGGTTGTGTCGCGGGATGATGTCACCACGAGACGCTGGGTGGGATGTGTACAACAATGCGTGAGCTCTTGGTCGTGCCCTACAACCACAGATGAGAACATGTGAGGCAATGAAAATAAGATTTTTCATTTCCACATACATTTGAAATGAAATGCTGATGATTTTTTTCTTTTTTTCCCCCAAATTGAGAAGAACAGTAATCATTCTGAACTTTAACATTACTACTGCTGTAAAAGTTTGGGACTGTATTCGAAGGGAAAAAAAAAATCACTACTCATTCCACACCAAGTAGTGTAGGTTATTGCTGCTTTATATGCCCTGAACACAGCAAAAGCATTTTGCAAGAACTAGAATTTGGGTACATTCAGTTTAAAAACAGCTACTTTCATTGGTTAAATCACAAGCTTAAAAGAAGACAAATTCATGCTTGGGGGATTTACAAGGTGGTAATTTTAGAAACTACTACAGCATTGAGCAGCACCTTCAGTCTTGTACACACTCATGTTGTGCTCCAGAGAAACAAATTATTTTCCCCAATGTTTTTGTATCTACAAATAATCCCACATATAAAAACAAACCACCAATTTAATTTTTTGTGAGTGAACAAATACCTGTAAGAGAATGGACAAGTTCAGAAGTCTCTACATCGTACAGATTTGCTGTCCTATCCCACGATGCTGTCACTGCCTGCTTCCCCCCAACCAGCCAGTCAGCTGCTATGACCACTCCTTGATGGCTTTTCAGTGAAGTTAAGGGGGCTCTGACAGTGGGGCAATCACTGGAACCATCCCCATCTCCATCAGGTTCATCTTTATCTGAGAACTCAACTTCGTCTTCTCCAGTCACTTGCTATAAAATGCAAGAGAAAAAAGATTTAGAGCAGAAGGGGAGGAATGTCTCAAAGTTACATTTTGCAGTGTAAATGCTTCCCAATTCCCTCAAATTGAATGTGTGCAACTTAATTCGGCAGCATCCGGCCTATTCAGGTACTCACTATCACAAACTTAGTTGAAGGAATTTAACCAGTGAGTTAATTGCAGTTTTAAATACTAATTTAACCACTTTATGAGGAGCAGCTGAGGGATGTTTGGGTTGGAGAAAAGGAATCTAAAGGAAGACCTTATCGCTCTCTACAGCCATCTGAAAGGAGGCTGCAGTAAGGTGGGAGTCAGCCTCTTCTTCCAAGTAACAGGCAATAGAACAAAAGAAAATGCACTGGGAGAAGTTTAGATTGGCTGTTGGGAAAAAATTCTTCACCAAAAGGTTGTCAAGCACTGGAACAGGTAGCTCAGGGAAGTGTGGAGTCACCATCCCTGAAGGTGTTTAAAAGACATGTAGATGTGTCATTTAAAGACATGGTTTAGTGGTGGACTTGGCAGTGCTGGGTTAACAGCTGGACTTGATGATCTTAAGAGGTTTTTTTTCTAATCTAAATGATTCTATGATTATACTTCATTCTATGATTGTACTTCATTTTAAAATCTCCTCTGAACTGTTTAGCTCTGAGTATCTGTCCCTTTTACTATCTGGTAAGGTTTTTTATATTCCCTTACTGTTTTACCCTAGAGTCTCATTGCAGCATATTTATCAAGGGACTTTTTCCCTTTCAGTTTTTAAGGGTAGAAGCATCTAACAGGACACTGACTATTTTAATCTTCAGGAAGACAGTCATCTACAGACATATTTTCATCCACTAAAATCAAATCATTACATCAATATTTGTCTGTTGGTCAGTACACAGTCATCATGCAGTGCTGATGTAAACTGGATGCAAAACAAATTCTTTTGCCAACCATGAAACATCAGTCTCTGAACCTCTTTTTCACTTACACAAGACAAAACCATTTTTGTTTTATGTTATATGGATGTGAAAAAGATAACATTTGTACTGTTCTCTCAAAGTGGAAATGCGAAATCAAATATTTTCCATTCAGAAATCTATCTCATATTATACAGCCACCTATTTGCCCCTATTTAGCTTACTGAGAAGCTCATGCTATAACCTATGTTTGCCTTTACATTTTTGTAAGGGTACTTTAAAGTAAAAAAGCCAGTCTAAAGTAAAGACTGACTAAATAAAGGCCTGGGGACAACAACAACAGATAGTGTGATGTGTGCTGGTAAGTTCAAATCAAAAAAGAGACAATCAAATAAATGCCAAAATAACAAGTCTTTATGAGCAGTTTTCAATTCAAAGCAACTACAGCTAACACGGGTGCTTCAATAAGTAAAGGTACAAGAATTTAACTAGTTTAAAACAAGCTTCATTATTTATAATTTGAATTATTGCCAAAAAAATTACTCATCTTAATTTACTTACACATTTACTACCTTGAAAAAGAAGTGAATTAATGCACTTGCAGCTGCAAATTCTATTCTGCACCACACACCTTTGAAAACGTGAAGCAAGTCTATTTTCAAAGAAAGGCTGAAATATAGCTGTTAAACTAAAACCTTAAAATCCCACCTTTGGCAATCCTGAAATCATGTAATTTTTTAATTATGTGTAAATCTAACATTCAGTCTTATCATAAAACCTGTATCTGATGAAATTGCTGTGCAATTAGTTTAGTTGCAGTTAGTTGATTGCTTACATTGCAGTCTGCAGTTGGCTGAGGTGTAGGTAACTGTACTATGTATCTCCAGATGTGAGCTGTCTGGTCTCCAGATGCTGCACAGGGAGAAGAGAGGTAAAAAAAAGAGAGAGACAATAAATAAGAGCATTTCTACGGGAAATAAAAACAAGCTTTAACGTTACATTTGGTAATACTGTCTGTGTTTCATCTTTTTTTAACAGGTATCATTATAAAATTTATGGTAAGCAAGTCTCAGCATCAACAGTTACTCTCCTGGCTTCAGTACTGATTAAGAACTAAAAGTCATTTTGCAAAATATAAATAGCTACCAAATTAATCACTCCTACAATGAAACTCCCACTTAAATACTACACATCAGAAGATGAGAATCTGTGTTATTCCAATATGTAATATCATCCAGTCCAACTCCCTGACCACTTCAGACCTGACCAAAAGTTAAGGAATGTTGTTAAGGGCATTGTCCAAATGCCAGCCTCTCTAGAAAGCCTGTTCCAGTGCCTGGACACCCTCTTGGTAAAGAAATACTTCCTAATGTCCAGTCTGACCCTCCCCAGCACAGCTTTGAACCCTTTCTATGCATCCCATTGCTGGATCCCAGGGAGGAGAGTTCAGCATCTCCGTTTCAAACTCCCCTCCTCAGGAAGCTGTAGAGAGCAATGAGGTTGCCATTCAGGCTCCTTTTCTCCAAAACAGTCAAGCCCAAAGTCCTTAGCTGCTCCTCACAGGACATGCCTTCCAGCCCTTTCACCAGCTTTGCTGGTCTCCTCTGGATTCATCCAAGGACCTTCCTATCCTTCTTAAATTGTGGGCCCAGAACTGCACACAGTTCTCCAGGAGAGGGCACACCAATGCTGAATACAGCAGGACAAGCACCTCTTTTGTCCACCTGCTTGTGATGTGCTTGATGCATCCCCAGGATGAGGTTTGCTCTCTGGGCTGCCCAGGCACACCAGAGGCACATCAGGCCTGCTGTCAACCAGCACCTCCAGAGCCCTTTCTGCAAGGCTGCTCTCCCACCATTCCTCTCCCATTTTATACCTGTGCTCAACATTACTTTGTCATAAGTGCAGAATCCAGCATTTGAACGTGTTAAATTTCATCCCACTAATCACTGCCCAATGCTCCCACCTACACAGATCCCTCTGCAAGGCCTACTGTCCCTCAAGAGGGTCAACAGCCCCTCCTAGTTTGGTGTCATCAACAAACTTGCTAATGGTGCAATCAGCTCCTGCATCCAGATTGCTGACAAATCAGTCAAACAGGGCTGGCCCTAGAACCGATCCCCAAGGAACTGGTGCCCTTTACCAGCCAGATGTAGCCCCATTCACTACAACCCTTTGAGCTCTGCCCCTCAGCCAGCTCTTCACCCAGCACATCGTGAACCTGCTCACCCCAAAACCAGACAACTTGTCCAGACGGATGTTGCAAGGGATAGCATCAAAACTCTTACTAAAAACTGGAGAAACTACAACCACCACCTTCCCTTCATCCACTAGGAGGGTGATCTTATCCTAGAAGGACATCAAATTAGTTAAACAGGAACCTGTACTGACTGTGCCTGATGACTGCATTATTCTTTAAATGCCTTTCAGTAGTACCCAGTGTAATCTCCACAATTTTTCAAAGGAAATGAGGTTGGACTAACAGGTTTGTAGTTCCCTGGGTCGTTCCTCACAGCCTTCTAGTGAACTGGATTAACATTGGCTGGCTTCCAGTCAGCAGTGACCTCTCCAGGCTCCCAAGGCCTTTGGTAGATAATCCAGAGGTGTCCTGACATAACACCTCCTAGTTCTTTCAGTACTCTGGGATTAATCCCAGAACATTCATCTGATATATGATTCTAAGTGTCTCTTTTGGAGAAGGTAAGCACAGTATGACAAGACAAACACAGCTGGGGAGATCTAGCCCTGATTTATTATGCCTTGAAATACAAAAATAATTTAATCAACAAGGATACTGACAAAGAAACAGGCACAGGGTTAGGGTTACAAGCAAAATGATGCTGACAAATCACACTTGTTTTCTACCATAATTAACATAATCAGCATATGAACAAATTTTACATACCTGTAAGAGCCACTTGCTCAGTGGGATGAAACTTTATGGAGTTTACTGTGTGAAACAAAGTAAATTTTTACGTTAATATACAAAAAGAATTCTCTCACAATGTTTTGTCTTAAAAACATTGAAAAATCAAGTCGCCTTGAGTCTTAACTAATTTTCATATTAATCTCTTAGGTGAGATAAAGGTGTAGCATCAAAGAAAGCAACTACAGTTGACTACATGTTTTCTAGAAAATGATTTCCTGAATCTAGTACAAATGGTTCATGTTAGAGAGGATAAAGAAACCACATTAAAATAATCATAAGTGAGCTGACAGCAGATAATGCCCTGGACTTCCATAAAGAGAATTCAAGTATTCATAATTATTTCTAATTTAATGAAAACTGACTATATATGACCATCAGCATTCTGATTATTACTTAGGATTGCAAGAATAAATACCTGAAAACCTTATGCAAATAATACAAATCAGATTTCAGTCCTGCAACCATATGTAATCAAAATACGATGAATTTAAAATAGGCCTGCAAAAATTCTACCAATCTACAAGGCTCTTCATTTCTATTTCAGTATATAAGATTCAATTCAAGAAAGAACTTTGAAATTATTTCCATCCATCATACAAGTAAAATAGATGCTTATGTTGTTGGGAGAGTGTGGTGTAATAAGTCTGAAAAGACACTTCTCAAACTGAACTAATCAGTGGTGCATCAACTGCTGGCACCTTTGCACCATTTCAAATCAACTGTCAAACAAGAAAAGTTTTCTTAAATTAAAAACCTATTATTTCTAATGTAATTTTTATACATATGTAATTATATAAAATCTATATACAGCATAACTTATAATATTTTGTTTAAAGACAGTTGTTTAAATACAGGTCAGAACTTACTATTTTCATGGTTATCAACGTAGTAATTTTAAAAGAAAACTATCAGCATGACAGTGCAAGTGATTGAAGTTTTTAAACGTAACTCTATAGAAGCTGAAGGTCCATACAGCAAGCAACCCGAGATATCTGAACAAATTAAAGTGTTTCCAGTTGTTTATCTGCATCTATCTTTGTGCTGTAGGAACTAGAAGACATATAGCAGGAAGAAAAAGTAGAACTCATGGCTAAAGCAACTGACCACTCCCTGGAGAACTTAATTCTATCTGTATCCTTGCCACAAAGTTCTTGTGATGTGCTGAGTTATTTAACCAAACCTTCCTGGTCAATAACTGCACTTCTCATCCTCAAGGTGCATGACTCTCCACTCAAAGTGCTCAATTCTCAACAGCAAGTTAAAGCTAAGGAAAACCTCACCAAAATTCTATATTGTAACCCATTATAAGAGAGAAGAAGGGTAATGGGGTGCTTGGACACCAAAAATTAGGATTAACATGAAAGCACTCATTGAACTGCATCTTTCCAGATAAAAAAGGGGTTTAAAGAACAATTTCTGAAATATTCATACTGGTATAAAGGAAGACAAATGCCAATACGTAATTAACTGTCTTCAAAACAAGATAACAATTTAATATTATGCAGCAAATTATACGTGGGATCATGTGTTAAACAAAGAAGTGCAGATAGAGATGCTGCATGAATATCTATTTTGTATCCCAAATATGACACATATCCTGCAAGACAGTTAATTTCTGGTTACATAAGATTCTCTTGTTCTGCATATGCATGAGACCTCAATGAGTCCTGACATTTAACTTCTGAATGTCGTAACTGTGCCTGTAAATTACTTTATATGGAGTTGTTTATTCATTTAGCATTTGCAGAACTGCCTTAATGTGCCTCTCCAAGAAAGAATCATATTGCAGAACCTTCTCTGTATGAAAATTAGTGGAACTTCACAATTGACTTGTTAATGGTATTGGCAAACCTGCAAGTGAAACCACAATAAGCATTTCTGTAGTTGTCCAAAACCCAATTCCCCCTCCCAGTTTTCACAACAGGTCCTTATCTTACCTGATCCAACATGCCCTACATACTTGACAAGGCACTTCCCTGTTTCTATGCTCCACAGCAAAGCAGTGTGATCTACAAAGATTAAGAAGTAGTTGTAAATAGTTACAAATGGATTTTTAATTTCTAACCCTAACAAACAAGCTATCTTCAACTGTATATAAAATACAAAAGCTTCTTAGCGTTATAACTTAATACATACCTCCCACAAAAAGTAAAGGTGTTGTCCTAATAAGATTAATTTGTAGAAAGTATTGAATTTGATATTTTTCCTAACTTGTTTGTATACTTCTGTATAATGCTCCACCTGTGTATCACGAGATTCAGGAAGCACAGAGAAAGCATTCCATGCAGTCACTACAAGCAAGAAATCTATGCACAATCTATTCACTTCCTGCATGGAAGTCCCAAATGCATACAGGTCACTGTAGAGCACTACAAAAATTTATTTAGAGAGGAAATCACTCCATATGCCACACCTTTATCCTGCCGCACCCAAAAATAAATAAATAATACAAGTATGTAAGTGGGAAGTACTTTAATGCTGAACTGGAGAATGGCTGTTTCCAAGTTTAATCAGGACAAAGACAAGGTGTCCCCCACAAAGACAAAACCTGCCCCTCAGTGGGTACATAAAAATTTTAACAGTTCAGTTACAAAGCTAAGGTTTCTGGTCCATAATATTCAAGTCCCTGTTCCAGCTTCCGAAGACTGTCATTTCAAACCTGACCAATTGTATCTGGTTATGGTTTATTTCCACAATAATTTTCCAAGACTACATAAGTCTCTAGATTGATTTTTGGACTATAACAGATTTAGTGACTTATTCATTAGTCCTTGTTCCCCCTCAAGTGGGAAGGAAGGAGTCTTGTAAAGTAAAAAGGACTGAAAATTAAGATTTTTAGCTGCCTCTGTATCCTGAGGCAAAAGCCAGATGAATACAAGAATACAAGAATATGCAAACTATGACCAAACCTACAGCTTCTACTGAACAAAGGTTACACAGTACTAGGATAGAAAGCCTACAGGGATCTCTGTATCCAGCTATAGGGCATTCTGTACTGTATTAGACACCAGCTCCCCATCCCACACACTCACACCATCCAACATGCTAGAGCTGACTGAGGAGAGTGTGACCTGCATGCAAGTTCACTGGCACATACTTTAGAAAGATCAACAAGGATGCTTAACTTTCTACAGGTTAAATGCATTTCAAGGAAATTCCAATTTCAAGAAATTTTCAGCTACAGAACTTCTTTAAAAGGACTCTTTCGGTGTGGAGCTCAGTGTTCAAGTATGCTTTGGATCTATATTTACTACAGCTTAGGGACTAAATCTGAATTTTCTAAATATTCAAGCAACACAAAACTTTACCAGCAGATGCAGTTCCCAACACCACTGGCTGAGTTTTCGCGACACTGACATCCCAAATACCATCCCTGTGGCCAACATATTCCTTTACCAGTTGACAGATTGCCCTCGATGTTGTAGTTTTAAAACTGGATACAATCTGAAATAGCAGAGAGACCAATATTTTTTAGCACATTGACCCAAGATTATCTCACAAATACAAATAAATATTAACTTTTTCATTATTCTGACAGTTCACTTTTTTCAAAAATTTGACCTTTGATGGTAGAAGAATGAGTTTGGATGCAAGTATATCTCCTAATATTTTTTTCTTTTTTAATAATACTCCCCCTTTTCAGAATGCAAGACAAACTATTCTCTACCATAATAATGTAATAGTCATTGCAGAAATGAACTGTACAAGTGTAGAGTGCACGTCCCATTCAGTCGGGGTAAGGACTATCATGAAAAAAAAAAAAAAAAAAAAGACCAAACCCTGCAAAAGACCGTAAAATTTTCTTTGCCTATTCCCAAAGAAGTATATCTGATAACTTAAAGATGGTCCATGCTATCCAGTGTAATGCCTTTGGAAAAAAATACACTTAGTACTTAATTTTAGTAAAATCCTGAAAACTCACTGCTGTTTTTCTTTAAAACTGCTTGAAACTAATCAAACCAAATATTAACCTGAAAGCACAGGCCTGTTTATTTGTGTAATAAAACTTTTTTATAAAAGATATGTCAAACTCATCTAAATATTTGATATGCACACTCCCTCCTCCAAGTCAAGCTATTAGAGGAAAAGCAGAGAAGACTCATTAAATCCAAATTAGTATGTGCATAAGTAATACCAAATGAAAGGAAGAGAAGTCTAGTAAAATGGTAAAACTACAAAGCACTGCAGTACAGGAAGGCTGAAAACACTCAGTATCCACAGAAAGAAACCAAATTTCATAAATTCTATATTTTCAGATAAAGTGAACTGCAATACTTAAAAAAAAAAAAAAAAAAAAACGGACAAAACACCTTTGCCTTGCTGGAACACCTCCAGAGACAACTGAAACCAAGAATTGTGAAAGATGACTTAAAAGTAAGTACAATACTACAAATACCCTATTTTTACCCCACAAGTCTTCAATCTCATAACTGTTCTTTGAGAAAAACTACCTAAAAAGCTTTACTACACTGGAACAAAAAGACAAGTTCCATTTATCAGTGTTTTCCTGTGCATGCAATTCTAGGCAGGTATTTATCTGACCAGCTAAATCAAAACCTTTAAATACTTCAACACAAATTACATTAAGACTTATCTACAGCTTAGTAAAAGTTAGGAAGTTAATTAAGTCTACATTTCAGTTACAATAAACTAAGTTTAAAATCCCATTAGGTTTTGGTATTAAAATAGAAGGTCTTAAGTATGTCATTAGAGCAAATTACTTCAAAAAGGGTTTTTAAAGTTAAAAGAAAATCTGCAAGAGCATTCCAAAGCCTGAGCAAGTCAACTCTCCAATGATGAAATGATAATTTCATCCTTTTTGAATTCCAGATTAACAGCTCACATGCATTCTGGTTTCACAGCAGAAGAAGGAACAGTCATTAAGGAAGCATTAAAAGGAAAATGGGTCAGTGATAAAGATTATTAGTTCAATGATACTGCAGAACTTCACAACTTTTGAACAATCCTAGAGATACAACTTTCACATTGAATATAGTCCTTACAGTAAATGGACTCATGTATGACAAGTGGAACAGCTGAAATAAGTATTAACAGCAAAGGACTAACATAGCATTCAGGTCAAACTGCAAACTTGAAGTTTTCCAACTCGGAACCCCACACTCAAACTATGCTTGCATTCTGTCTTTCTAATGTGGAGTCAAACCTTCATGCTAAAATTTCCTAGGAGAAACTGCCCCCTACACATCAACAAGCACGGATTTTCCAGAAGTACTGGACAGGGGTTTCACTGATCACTTAATGTCAAGGGCATAAAATTCCCTTTGGAGTACCAGAAGTCTTGAATGAACACACAGAAGATAAGAGTTCAAGAACACTAAACAACAGTAAATATCCTAATAGAGATATTAATTCTACACTTTTTTTTTTTGCTTTCTTTTTTTGCTGTCCCTCACTTCACATACCAGTAACTGGATAAACTAGGCAGGGCCTGGATTACTTCCTGCTTTGTTAGCCATACATAAACGTTTTTCCAAGTCAGGAAAAGAAATATTTACATAACATGCAACTTGCTAAAAAGAGGTCTCTGTACTACAGAAAATTTTTTAAATAACTTCAGCAGATCTTGGATTATCATACAAAAATAAGTGGGCAACCATATCCTGAGTGTGCTTCGCCTTTGTCTTCTTTCTTAAATTCACACAGTTTCATGTGCTTCCTTCTATACAGAGATTTGTTAATAAGGAAACAATTGTTTACTATGTAAACAAGTGAAAACTGAATACAAATTGAAACAATTGATGGCAAACAAAGTAAAGCACTCTGTAAAAATGTTTCTTATGCAGACAGGACACATTAGAAATAAGAAGGACAACTTGGTCAGCTCAGGACCAGTCCAGTAGCCTTACTCTGTGACTGATGAATGGAATTTCCTGAGGAACAACACTAAGCAGTGACAGCAAAAACTACGTAGTCCAGAAAGTTTTATTACTTTCAACTACCGGGTGAAGAAATACCTTCTTTTAAGAACCTTTTCTTGATTAAAAAGAATCAGAGATCCTGGGATTTAGTTTAGATGGAGCAAGTTACATAATTTCAGTTTATTTTAGGACTCTGCATAAACAGTTGATGCTTTCCTGATGTTGTAACAACTGCCATAGCCAAGGATTGTTAACAGCAACCATAACATCTTGTTAACATCAAAATATGAATTTCACATAAGGGATTCCTGCATATACAAACAACTGCAGTTAAGTTACAAAATCTTGCCCATTAACATACACAAAAAAAATTGTTTTTAAAAGTACCAAGCACTAAATCTACTCTACCTCTTCAGAACTGGGACACTAGGGGATAACACTTGCTGCTAAAAGCATCCTTTGATATGAGTTTAGCCAACTTATTATTCAGACTTTTAACTCGACTAAGGGATGAAAAGTATTCCAGTATGGAAATTTCATATGAAGGACTCAAAATACCTCAGCATTTTCCAAAGAAAATGAACGGATTGTTTTAGTCCCAGTATTTTTTACCAATATTCAAGGAGTCCAGGATCAGCCTTCTCCTAAGAATAAGCAAATAGTGAAAGTTCTTTGTAGAAAAAAACTAAACTCTTTATAGGTTGGCAACAAGAAAAATGTAATTGTGTGCAATTACACAAAACAAGTGGTTTGTGAAACTTAAGTCTCTTCTAATTTCCTCCAAGGCAAAAAAACAACCAAGCCAAAAAAACCCCCCCCACACACACAAATCCAACCCCCTCTACAGTAGCAGTATAAAGGATGGACTGGAAAGAAAAGTGATCCACCGCTCCAGTGAGTTTTGAGCACAATCCATTTTGGCAAACAGCACTGTTCAGTCAGCACTCACTGAAATATTTTTTTTATTTCTCTTTAAAATACAGTAATCCCACATACACACCTATGCACACTCTCTCCCCTCCAACATTCCTTCTTGAAAAGAGGAAAGCAATTATTGTAAAAATGTCATATGGTATGGTTGAAGTAATGGGTATGAATGAACCCAAGATAAAGATATGGTTCCTTATGAGGCAGGTTTACTTGCAGACCAGCACTATTCAGCTTAAAGAAACCACAATTTACAACTTAAAGACAGTCACGTTAGTCTCACAAGTACACACTGATGAGTAGAGATTTAATTTGTCTCATACCTTGCTAGTAGATGCCTTGTAAGTTGTCTTTAATTTCTGAGAAAGCTGACTGGTACTATGACTGGCTGTTGAGACAAATAAATTCAAAGGCAGATATTTCAAATAAAGCATTAGCTTATTTAAGTAACTGGTATTAATTCCCTTCAATAACATTCTAAGTTTTGGCCAGCAAAGCACAAAAAAGTGAAGTTAAAGTAGTGTTTTAGGATTCTTTGTGGCTGTCTTACCTTTTGTTTTCAGCTGTCCTTTGCTCAGTTCAGCTCCATCAACTGTCTGTCCTTCACCTGCTAAACGCTCATTCAGTGTATCGATCTCTCTACGCACTAACAGAACCAAAAATTTACATTATTACTAAAAATTGGGTATCATTAACAAGATCATTAACGTACTATTTAAGGATTATAATGGTTAGTAAGTAATCTATTTTATGCTAAGGAGAGAAAAAAAGATCAACTACAATTTTATAAAAGCAGGTCTAACCAAGACAAACCAAGACTCATGCTGAACTGACCCAGATTCCAAGGAAAGTATGGGTGGCTTCTAATTACTCTCACTAATAAATGAGGCTAAGGATTAACAAAACAGCTTCTGTGAAATGCATGGCACATCTGTATTGAATTAAATCCAACAGAAGAAAACTTGCACCATCATAAATATTTCAGCCACAGAATTAGTATTCCTTTCTCCACAAAGGTTTTATTCATCACCAAATGGCATTCCCCGGAATGTCTGTCTACTATCAGTTTCATTGGAAAGGTAGTGCAGCAAATGTGTATTATTTGTACTTTGAAATATACTTTTTAAAAGTGCAGAATGGCACATACATTTTACATGCAACTGTTTTAGAAACACTAAATAAAGTAAAAATATTTTCACTGTGCATCAGACAAAGCATGTATATGTAACAAGATTACGCTTTTCTGTCAATTGCAAGTGTCACCAGTGCCATTTTAACACATGACAGAATGATGGTATTGATGAACAAATCAGGAACTCATAAATGATCTCCAGTGGCGGGACTGGTTTAAAGTTGCTCAATTTCACTTTATAGGAACATTTTCAGTGACTTGGAGATTTTTTTCTCAAAATCTGGGCTGATCTTTAAAGTGTTCTCCTCATGTGAAATCTTATTGAGAGGCTTTAACCAGGCATTTTTTTGCTGCACTTGAGAAGATACCTAGGCCTGTCTTTCACAGATTTTTTGGACTTCTTTGAAAGAAGTCCAGGTCTGGAAACATGAGAGAATGTGACAGAGCAGCAGTATGCTTCTTGCCATTCTGAGAATTTCACTGAATTCTCAGTTCTAAGCACTATAAAAGCCAGTTTACACCTCCACACCACACTCAAGTACTTGAAATAAGCAAGGCAAGATTCTCTTTCCTGTCTTCCTACTCACATAAACCCAAACTTTTATGAACCATAGACAATGGGAAAGAGAAGTAAACAAAGAGACAGGCTTGTAGTTACATATGACTGAAACAAGCAGGCAGATACAAGAATTGCCTGAAAGAACTAAGACTGAGGCCTGGAAGGGATTAAGAAAAGGAAAAAAACAGAAATAAGCTGCCCTAAGGGAAAGGGACTGCACAGATTCTCTCTGTACAGTAACTGAAACACTAGAAAAAAAAATAACAGACTGAGGATGAGAAGAGAAAACTTTAGAAATTGTCAGAGGGGTATAAAAAAATCAGAAAGGCCAGGAGTGAACCAGAACTGTGAGGCAGGGAAAGAAGATGAAGAAACAGAAACAGAATAGAAGAAAAATAGCCATACTCTAGGGGGTACAAATCCACTACTTGTTTTCTGACAAGCATTTCTAAAAGTTGGGCAGGGAAACCCTACTTTTCCTGCTACCAGCCAACTTCTCAGCAGGGGGTCGAGAACTCAGTTGTGCAAATTGTCACTAAAAAATGTGTACTATTGATTATAGCCTTTAACCAACACAATCTCAGGTTTTAAGAGAATAAAAAACCAGCATATTTTGAAAAAGCAGGCAAGAATGGCCTTTTTTTTTTTTTTTTTAATATGAGTGTTTGATTTAACTGTGGGAAAAGATTAGGTGTGGGGAAAAAATTGACTTGAAGCCAAATCAGACAGATTCCACAATTCAGGAGCCAAGCCATGCAACACAGCTTCCAAAATCCAGCAAGGGAAATGAAGCAGAGGCTTTACTGTATTACTATATAGGCTTGTGTTACTTAACTTTGGATCCTCTTACATCACCTCGGATCACCTACATTATCAGACAACTTCACTGTCATTAAACAAATAACACCTGGAGTTTTGATCTGAGCACTCGACTTCAAAACTCATGAACAGCTGCAGGTGCTGGTTATGCAATGTGTAAGTAGGATGATACAAATCCACCCCACCATACACTTTTTCCAGTAGGTCACCTTTCCAATTTTATTTACTAATATGACATCATTAACCTGTAAATATAGAACAAAGCCACTAACTTCAAAGGCAATGGAGTAACTGCCACATTAACATGGTATCCACCAGAGCCTACAAGGACGAGGAGAGAGATCCTTCACTGGCTTTGCCCGGGAGTCGAGAGGGATGACACACATCAGTTCTCTCTGCTTGTGCCAAGGACTAAGAAAGTAATTTTTCTGAAAAGGTACAAACTCCATCTTCAGTTACAAGTTCGAAACAATCCTTAAACTCCCCACAGAAAAGCAAGACTAATCGCACTACAATACGCAAGGTAAAGCTTTAATTAGCGCTACTGTGTCTTAAATCCAAACAATCCATAAGTTACCAGAAAAAATAGATACTCACATTCCAAATTTTCAATATATAGGTTTTCAAATTCCCGTTCTATCTGTCCAAAAAGTTCAAGGAGTGTATTCCGGACAGAAGATGGTAGTTTAGAATCCTAGGAGGCAAAATATTGCATTTTATAATTTTCTTTCCATATAATTTATATAACTGCTCTTCTATCTTAAACTGATTTTAACAGTTCTCTCCATATCCCAGCAAGAAATTAGAACTACTGCTAGAGTAGAATACAAAACAAAAAGCTCTATGCATCATAGGATTATTCAGCTTACATATTCTTTCTCTTTAAAGGGATAGAATTCAAATCACCCACAGGCTCTAGGGATTTTTACCTAGAGAAAAATTACAAAACCAAGATATATGTAAATTTCATTTTTAAAAAATAAAAGGTAGGAGAAAAGATTCAATATAATATCAAGGTGTTTCCAGTTCAAGAAATAAAAATACCTTTGATTAGCAAAGTAATTCAGAAGTTGAGTATGCAGTAAGTTAGAAAGTTGTCAACACAACACACCAAAGCTTGAGACAAACTACCCTTTAATTTAACATTTACCTACTTTTGTCACTAACCATAACCAGGTCACAGAAAGTATTTTGAAGCACATTCACAGAATAGGACTTATTTGTTTTCTTCAGCATAACAGCATAGCAATTCCAAGGTACAAAAAACAAGTATGTAATAAAAACTAACACAGGATTTAGATGATCTGAGATCATTATACAGCTTGACCATGGGTTTCTGTTGGCAGGTTACTTAAATTTCATTCCTCTGCCTCTAAAACAGATATCAGCACCATATGTTTCCCCAAAAAAATGCCTAGTATATCCAAAGCAAGTGAGCACTTATTTCTGCTGGGAGCCAAGGTTCACACTGTATCAATGAATCTGTTATCACACACTCTTGGGCAGACAGCAAGTAAAGCAGAAGGCAACTGACTGCAGTACACTGAGAACCTACTACTAACAAATACCTTAGAATTTAAAGCACAGCCTGCTACTATAAGATGGCAAGTTAGAAAGGAGAAAATACTGTCAGTAACTATAATCAGTTAATCCAATATAATTATGGATAAAGGATGAACCATGCTTGCTCACAACATAAAAAAATTCTTCTAAACCTGTTCTGTTCTTCAGTTGCCTGTAGACCACACATAAGTTGTCTTACTGCACTTATTATTTAACTAGGTACCCAGCTATAAACTTTTTTTCACTTTACCGAGCCTCACCCTGACAATGAAAAAGCTCAACTTCTCTTCTGCAGCAATCTAACCCATTAACTTGTAATGAAATAACCAGCATAGTCAAATGCATCCACTTCCTTTATATTCTTTAAAGTTGGCATTATTTAAATTAGCTTATTAAAATAGCATGTAATATTGTTATCTGTTTATCTGTGAAAGTACTTAGCTAGATCTCACAGTTTACAGCTCTACTGTGTAGGGGCATTAATATTTTACTTGTTAGAAACTTGTTAGAACCTGGCTGTTCAAGGTCAATGAAATTAAAGATGATAGATAAAACATTTAAAACATTAATGTATTACTTAACAGTCTGGTAAGAAATACTAAAATGGCTTAAAATTTTAGTGTACTAGGCAGAAGCGACAGCATGTCCTGACCTCTCAGCTGCCATTCACTCTTTTCCTGAAGTAAGGTTGTCATGAGTCCCAAATGCATGAACAGTTTTCTATCCAAGTACTTGCATTCTCAAATCTCCAGATGACTGGAAGTAACAACCTGGGTTCTGTTAGTTTCCAGAAAAATAATGCTATGATTTACTGAATAATAGATTCAATTAAAGAGAGTCACTGAGAAGACACCGCATTTTCCCTTCAGAATATCTGCAGACTCCAGAGTGAGGTTTCTCACAGCAAACACTAATGGTGTTTCAAACCATCTCTCTGACAAAAATAGAGTTTTGCATCATCTTTGCCAGGCCCACTTTACCACTGTGAAGTTTATTTGACAATAAATAGTTTTCAGAGTGATACTTGCTTATCTTTGCCATCACTGCTGCACACCCTTCCAGCAGAAGCCTTACCTAGAGTTAATCTCAGAATTGTTAGGTGGAACATTCCAAGTCCAGACTGCACCCACTACACGGACTGACATGATTAAGAGAAGCTACAGAAGTTAGTGGGTGCTGTTCTTTCCCTTGAGCTTAATGCACAGAAGATCGTACCTTCATTTGAGACAAATAAAGGATAAATTAAGAAAAAGCCCCACCCAAACAAAAATCTGAGTTAGCTCACACCTCTGTCAAGCAGGCAATGTTTATCTGCTTTATGGAAAGGAATGCAGAACAGCATTCCAAATAATATTTCTCCTATTAGAGTCACCATAAGAAATATTTTGGTTTATTCATATTACTACTATTCCAAATTCAAACTTAGGAAATCAAGAAATAATCTTGAACTTTTTTTGGGGGGTATAGAAGGTTGCAGTGAAGTAAACAGGCTGTTTCTTTGCATTGCTTTATGGTTTTATATATTCACGGAAGAATACACAAAAGCCCATGAAAAGGTTCAATCTCAACACAACCTGAAACACCATCAGCATCCACATCAATGGTCTCCAAAAGCAGTGAGCGCCTATAAGCAACAAAATCTGCTGTTCCTGCAGCTTTACTGGACCTATTTAATTACTTAGGTTTGTTTATTTTCTCCCGACAGAAAACACGCGTTAAAGTTACAAAGTTGCCCAAGCAGCAGAGCATCGCCTTACCTGCCCTTCCAACATGTCTCTCTGCAGCCCTGCCCGTTCCTGCTCGGAACTGTTGGTTCTCCGGATGGAAAGACTGTGTGATTTACGTTTCTGCTTTGCTTGGCGAGCAGATGCACAACTTCCACTTTCTATTGGCATTACTTCAAAAAAACAGCTTCACAGAGGCTCCTATGATAAACTAAGGACAAACATTACACATCACAAAGTGCTCTGCCAAACCAACCACAGTTCAAATTTTTTGTTCTCAAAACAGAAATATTTAGTTCTACTTAACATTTGAGTTGTTTGGGTTGTCATCAAAAATAAGAGATCCCTCTTACAGTTATTCTTCAAATAACATTAAGTTCAAAACCATACGCAGACTCATAAACAGAGTAGAATCACTTCTACATTGCTTATTCATTAGCTAACGAATCTCCACAAAAGGAAAAAAAATTCTACTTCCTTGCTCATTTTGGAGAACACCAGCAGAGAGAGCCCCAAAATGCTTCCAGGAAACAACCATTATGCATACTATAGTTCACTGAAATGCATGCAAAATTAAAACCCAGCTGGAAAATGAAAGCAAATAGACATGGTAATTTAGGGACACTGTCAGGTTAAAAATGTATTATTCAACATTAAGTGTTACTATACAGAATTTAACAGATGTCCTTGTTTACTCATAAGCAAAATTATTTTCAATAATTTTCATTATGAAAGTTCTGAAAACTACTTTCTACCATTTTTGGCAGCTCTCAGTACCACTTTCTTGATAGTAAAAGTGCCCAAGAACTTACGAGAACAGTGAAAGTGCACTTGACTTAACAGGCTGCTGTTGATGTGACTCGTTTTTGTCACCTTGTTAAAGCCAAATATATGCATTTTATTATCCCTAAAAACATCTGACAGTATCACCAATCAATATTACCATGCATGATCTACTGCTGTCCCCTGTTTAAGAAAAATCAAATTATTTTTCATTTATTGCATAAACTTGGAGAATATGTTCTTTATTGTCAAAATCTTATTTTTTACAAACATTTAATTACAGGACTTTTTTTTTTTAATTTAAACCTGACAATCAACAGAAATTAATTTTTGTTTCACGGGGTACCAGTTGTTAAACATTTCAAATGTTTTAGGATTGATTAGTCAAAATTTTTCAATCATGCAAACTGAGAACAAAATAAAAATTCATTCTCCAGCATAAATGATTTCTGAAACAACAATTACAACTTAAAATAGGTGCAACAGCCTGCAGAGAAATAGGAGAGCAGAGTTGGCAAAGCTAACAAGGCAACTGAGCTTCCCTTCAAATAAGTTGATCAGAGAAAATTTAAACCGAACCCAGGGCCAGTTCCAATTTAAGATCCACCAACACGCTAGGAATGAGCACCATCACTATTAACAAGATCAGGCATTAACCAGTTTAGGGTTCTGACAGGGTATTTTCTGCTTTTTAACAGATCATAAAGCCAAGGAAAAGCATACCTTACTAAAAAGGCAGTATGCACCATGAATAAAAACAGCTTGAAATCTCTTTTGGGTTGTACATCACAAAATGAAAACGCATGCAGATATAAAAATTTATAGCAAGATGAATGAAGATATGGAAATTTATATCAAAATGAGACTAGATTTAGTTAAGGTTTTGATGCTCATTCATCCTCATTAAAAAGCTTGATATTTTAATTAGCTTTTGAAACACCTGAATTCCAGTAACCTGACACCAATTCCATAGTGAATCTAAAATAAAATTCAGGTTGCACCAGTGACCTGTACTGCACTAAAATGATTTTGTTCCTTTCCTCTGGACTCTGCACGGTTCTCCACTGTACCTAATCCCATCAGAGTTTTTTATGTGTGATTAATCGGTAGTAACTAATTAGCTATATTCACAAATTAAAGAAGAAAGAATAGAAAGAACTACCATCAGGCAGCTTCTTATTTGCCTAGATTTCTTTATTCACTGTGGCTAGACTCCTCTACTGTACAAAGACAGGACCAAAGTTAAAAAAGCTCATCCCATAAACATATACTGCCAATTTTCTGGGCTTCACTAAGTATCTTCCTGTCCATGGACATATGGTCAAGAATTAGGAACAGGTTTTCAGTGCTCATCACATTTCTACTTCCTTTCAAAATAGGATCAGATCCCAAACACATGTATATTTTCCCTTCTTCCACCCTCCTTCCTATCTGCCTTGGGAACCTATTTTTCAGTAGCTTTCAGTTATCATTTTCTGCAATGTTCAGGATTACTTTTTAAGGCCTAAAGCACTAAGTTCTGCTGCACACACACAGATTTTTTAAGAGTTTTATACTTATACATACACATAACTATTTATAATCCCATAAATCCATTAACAGCATTTCACTTAAGATCTGGGGGGGAAAAAAAAGCCTATTTCTAATCCCTGCCAGATATGGCTCCTGAACTGCAATTATACATAAGAGATGTTAAGGTGGGTTATGGCCCACCAGGCACTGTTTTAACTATGTTAGTTTCCACTTGCCCTCTCTACCAAGCTACTCCATTTTAGAGGATTTTACCAAGAAATATCCTTTTCTAGACTGCTTTAGAAAATCATAAAATGACTCAGGTTGGAAGAGATCTTTAAAGGCCATCCAGTCCAACTCCTCTGCAATGAGCAGGGACATCATCAGCATCAGGTTGCTCAACCTGGTCTTGAATGTTTCCAGGGATGGGGCATCCACCACCTCTCTGGGCAACCTGTGCCCACGTTTCACCATTCTCATCATAAAAAATTCTTCCTTATGTCTAATCTAAATTTACTCCCTTTTAGGTAGATTTACCATCACCCCTTGTGTTATCACTACAGGCCCTTCTAACAAGTCTCTCTCCATCTTTCTTAGAAGCTCTCCTTAAGTATTGAAAGACTCCAGTAGGGTCTCCCCAGAAAATCCTCTTTTCCAGGCTAAAAAAACCCCAACTCTCTCGGCCATTCTTCACAGGAAGGGTGTTCCAAGCCCTCTGGTAATTTTTGTGGCTTTCCTCTCTGGACCAGTTCTAACAGATTCACGTCTTTCCTGTACCATTGCCTGGGACTGGCTTTCTGGGCTGCAAGCTCACTTAGTTGCCTCATGTCCCATTTTTCATGCCCCCATATCCCCAAGTCCCTCTCTGCTGCACTGTTCTCTATCCATTCATCCTCCAGCCTACACTGATATTGGGCACTGCCCCAACCCAAGGTGCAGGACCTTGCTCTTGGTCCTGAACTTCATGACACTCACACAGGCCCACTCCTCAAGCCTGTCGTGGTTCCTCTGGGTGGTGTCCCTTTCGTCAAGGAATCAACTGCGCCACTCAGCATCACTCCATACAGATTTGGAAGCTATACATTTTAGCACGCAGAATTTAAAGGGACACAGTCAAATGCACAAGAATACATCTTTACATAGTGAAATTCTCACATTAACTACACAACAGCTTCCACTTTCACAGCTCGTGAGCCAACGGAAGGGATTAGGCAGGACACACCTCCATCACTGTCTCTGTTTGGTAGCAGCACTTCACCTGCAGCCACTGTCACTGCCAGGGACTGCCCTCTCCTCATGCACCAGCACGACACATCCCTCATGCACCGTTCTGGAGAGAGCAAGCATGCACGCTGTTCCCAGGCTCGGCAGGAGGGTGCACACAGCCACAGCAAAGCTGGAACCAAAGAGGCCACAAGCATGTGCATACAGAGGATGGGAAGGAGACACCAAGGGGACCAGCTTCACTGCCTTCAATATTGTCCTGAGTTCCACCAAACAGCCTTACAAATTTCAGGAAAGGGAGCAGTAATTAAGGGGTTTTGGAGCCAGGATGTAAATTAAGTTTTTTAAAAAGTGACAGTGTCCCTTTAAATGTTAACTTCACTTTGACAATTTCAGAACTATTTTGACTCTAACTGTAACAGTCAGAAGCTATAGGTTTTTCAAGAGTAAATTTCACAAAACAGATCCTTGGCAATATGATGCTAAAAAAAAATAAGGTGCTCATTTCTAGCAGTTACCTGATTCCCCTTATTATGTAAGGTTTTCAAACAATGAAAATTACCTGTCCAGAATATCAGTGTCATGTTACATATCCTATGAAAACCATATTAAATATTGATTAGTAAAACAGTCAGTAGTATACAAACCAGTCAAAGTCTTTCAAATTCTTTAAACTTTTGTAGTTAGAACAGGAAAGGGGGGTGAGGGAAAACATCAGCTCAAGCCTAAGCACCAAATCCCAATCAAACAAAATAAGAAAAAAGTGCTTCAAAACAACCGATTGTATATTATTATTCAGATGTAGTTAATCATGACTTTTAAGTGTTCCAAACAGGTCCTGCAAAGAAAATTTCACTAAATTCACTTTCCTTCTACTTAGTAACACTACAAATAGGATGGAAAAATCATCAAGAACTATTGGAATCTCCTTTCCTGAGTCAAATGAAGTTGAATTCACAACAGCTAAAAATTAGTTATCAAGAGTAAAAAAAGCTGAACAAACATACCTGCTGAGAAATAAAAAGGGAGAGGGAGGGAGTGTTTACTATTGCTAAACTATATTCATTAAGGGTGGCAGTTCACAAGAACTGTATTATTAAAAAGTGAGATTATGAGACATTTTGAGCTATTCTGCTCAATCATTTTGGAAAATGATATGCATAGTGCTCCTCACACAATGATTTGTCAAAGCCTCCAGAGAACCTTTCTGACAAAGTCAATCAGCACAAGTAGGGGAGAAAAAGATGTCCTAGAAAACATCTAGACCACTGGTGATTACTACTTGCTGAATGCAAAGATACTTTGGTATTTCAGACATGCAGTTTAATTAAACTCACAGGATATGTTACAGTGTGTTAAATTAAAGTTCCGCCACCTACCTTTCTGTAACGGATGTTACCATGTATTCAGCCACAGGAAATATTTCACCAGAGTAACAACAGCAAAGAGCAGATGTGTATCCAATTACTGGTTTAGTCAGCTACGGCAGAGAAATGTGTGCACTAACGAAAAGTGCACACACTGGCCTTACCAGACTTAAAAATTTACTGCAGGAATTAACTAATTCTACTTGCTGACTTCTGCTCTTGAACATAGAACAGGCAGACTGCTGAAAGGAAAGAATTCCTGGGGTAGGCATGTTGCTGAAGCCAGGGAGAAAATATGTTTTAAGATGTGTCAGAGTACAGACATAATGGCCACAGTATTGCATTTCCTTTTTTGTTCATTCAAGACAACACGCAAGTCTGTAAAGGGAAAACATCAGGAAGTTTCAGCAACATCTTACCCAAGATCTCCCTGCTCCATTTTGTTTAGAGTTTAGAAATAGTAGTAATACTTACTATTTAAACGATGGTGTCAAAATTAAAAAAAAAAAAAAAAAACAAAAAAAAAAACAAAAAAACCATACAATTTTATTGTATCTGTGTGCTTTTAAATCTCTTAGTCTCATGTCTCTCATTTTCAAACATGGCTTAGAAGAAAATTTCACTGTATACTACATAAAACACAAAGGCATTTTTGCAATAGTAATTACTATCTAGTGAAGCATTAAAACCTTATGACATAAAGATGCCCATTAACACCCGGGCATTGGGGTTGGTTTGGGGTTTTTTCCAGAAAAAGGGAGGGAAGGGAGAAAGAGGAGAATAATTACAGTTATTAAGTTCCTAATTACAGGTAACTCCGTTTGACAGCATTATTCATGAGTTAAGGGAATTTAAGTATCAACATACGCCACTACAATCTTTATCAATATGCAAAGAAATCAAATTTAAAGGAGTAAAACTTCCATTTTGTGGTCTTCAGTGAACCATTTGCTTCAATGATGCTGTACATTCAAGTGCCATTAATTCAATGCAAGCCCCAAGAATACAGCACACCTGAGAAAGATCAAGCTAAACAGGCTGCTTTGTAAGACTAGTTGTTTTGCTGAAGGTAAATATGTAGGAAACAAAACCATTCCAGATCATCACAGATGATGCTAAAACCACTAAAGAGTGTACTCAAACCTCGTGGAATCCACTCAAGCATTACATTATTGATTTTTTTTTTCTAAATTTAGTGCAGCATTCTCTCAAATGAAACTGGAGGTTCCTCGAAATGTAAAAGGGGAATGCAAACATCCGCCACTGAAGACGACAACCTCCTTTCAACAGAAAATGAAGCTGAAACAATGAATTGTAAGTACTTTATACAGCTGAAATCAACAATAAAAGCTTTAACACATTAGTAAGTACCTACCCTAAGCAAGCTTCTAACATCAACACTGAAGTGTAAGCCAGCCCAGTTTTGCTGCTAGCAAGCTTTGATCTTGCTAATTCAACTATGTCAGCAAATGCTGCAATCACACCAAAATGCAGACCTAGCCTGCCATACGGTCGACTCAAGCAAGAAATGCTACTCTCATCATACAAGCTTATATTAACTAGTATAAGACAACTATAATTATCAAACTTGCATTTTTTATTTCTTTTTTTTTTAAGAATATAGAAGAAACTTCCCTGAGTCCACAAATTATCATCAGACTAAGACCTATTTAGTGAAATTGCTGATGTCCCGAAAGCTTCCCTTTGAGGCCTGTGCCACCATGCTCACTGAGGGTGCTCACTGTTTCAAATACTTTAAATGGTACAGGGTATGATATAATCTTATTCAACACCAATTAGTTACCTATGAGTATATATCCTGTCTTGTTTTATTTATAGGTATTGACTCACTGACTTTATTGAGGAGTTCAACAGACAGCATCAGGTCCTGCTAAATTACCTGTTAAATCCCAAAATATGTTTGAAGGCTACTCTGTTTCCTTACCTGTTTCACAGACATTTCAACTCCCATTTTGGTATAACCAAATCCCTAACAGCCGGGAAAGCAGCCTACATGCACACACGGGTATGCAAATACAAGACCTGAGGGTGAGGAATCTTAAGTTCAAGAGTAAAGGTGGTTTAACCAGGTATTTATTTAAGGAACCACTGCCCCACATTTAGAGGTCAGAATTTTATTGTGCTAGTCTCTAAACACTCAATATTTATGTACTTATTAGAGACGTACCAGATAAATCGCTATTACAGTTTTATTCAAGCAGAGTGACCTCTAATATCTTTGCTCTTCATTTAGGAATATATTACTTGCCAGTAAATTAGAATCTTAAAGTGCTTAAGACTTCAACAAAAGCCAAGTAACTTTAACTATAACACATTTAGCTCTTCTGAAGCACCAATAAATAATCTCTGTACGGCACATTCTTGAAGCATTACCTCATATGGCCTAGCACAGAGAACTACAGAACCTTCCAACAGTCTGTGTGACAGCATTGTGAGTACCCAGTCCTACCCTCTTGAAATACTAAGATGGCCTAAAAATAGCCTGTATGTATTACTCGAGGATGAGAAAACACAAACCACTCTGGCTTGCAAAGGAGACCATCCTGATTCTTATCCATTCCTCAGTGGTCATGCAGAGAGTACCAACAAACTCTCCCCAGAGAGGTTTGAAAAGGTGGTCTCTGGAAGAAGCCCCCCCCAACCCTTCACCTCACAGGACAAGCTACTAGTCTTAGCTCCGAGACCTAAAATTTCATGACATAAAATGATTCCAATCTCACCTCAAACTTATAAAATGCAATACCACTTAATTACTTATTACCTGGCATGAACTAGTTCTGGCTTGCAATTTCAGGATTTCACAAAAATCAGCTCTTCTTATAAGACATTATCACCACACTCACAGTATTTATCTCATGACTGTACCAATAAACTTATATGTTTCAGTCCATACTAAAGACTGTATCCTTTAAACAAATCCTAAATTTAAGAAAATGGTGGAAGGGCCTGTCTTCATTGAATAGACAGTCTCATCTTAGAATCTTTAAATTTAGGATGATAAACCTAATTTAGGGATAAATATACACATAAACAACTGGCATCAAAAAACAAACAACATTACAGTGGCCTCTGCCTTAAATTATAATGTTTGGTGCAGGCACCTTTTCTTAAAATAATTGCCCAAGTCCACAATACACAAAGCTTTATTTAAAGTTATTACAAGACAGGTTAGAGCTGACACCACGCACAAAGATCTTATCTAAGCCAAACTGCTCATTAGGAAACATACTTGTGGGTTCTTAGGGTTACCAACTCGTTTTCAAAACCATCAAGAAAGCCAACAGCAGGCTTGCTTGGAAAACAGTTTCAGAAATTTGCTTAAGGAGAAAATACTGCTGTGATGTTCTAAAATGCCTGAACAATTGACGTTTGTATAATTTCAAGGTGTACTCAATGACACTGAATCACTTCAAAGAAGCTGTTCCACCAGTTCTTCACATAAACCTTCCATGAAATTACTGTTACAGAAAGCCCACTTTAAGCCACAAAAACAAAACAAATTTGACAAGCTGGAGGATGTAACGAGAGGGATAAAAACACACGTGGAAGTTTATCTTTTCTTACTAACACCAACATGTCCTTGAACCACAGATCAACGCTTAACTTCAAAAAGTTTTCCTCGTCTTTGCATAAGGAACTGGAACCTAACATCTACTCAAGCTTTGAATACATTAAGCATATCAATTCTTCCTTCAAACTTGTTTTCATATGTCTTAGCAGAGAAAAAGAGAGAAATACTGAAACTGGCTCTTTACAGACAACTTTTACCCATCTTGGACAGTTCCAGGTCATCCTCCCACTGCCGAAGGCCAGATCCACCCCATCCCACCACAAACGGCGCTTCCCTTCCTCATTCAGCTGTGCCCCCACTTCAGGGAATTTGGGCGTTTCATTTTTACTCCGTCTGTACATGTGTCAGAGGCTCTGAACTCAATCTGTAAGCTAACGAGGCACTACGCTGGGCTTGTCCTCAGGATATGCAGCAGCACACGAACAAAGTTAGCGAGCCGACTCTCCCCAGCACCACCGTCCGCAGACCTGGAACCATCGCTACAGCCTCGGGCTGGGAGAGCAAAAACACCCCGACACCCGGGAGGAGAGGAGGAAGGGCTCGTTTTCGGTTATTTCGGTTTTCAAGGAATACCGTGCGAGCCATTTCACCCGGAATCGGAGGGGAGCGGGGCGGGCTGGCAGGGGGTGCTCGGGGGGGAGCCCCGCGGGCCTGGGCGGCGGCAGCGGCCCCGCGCAGGTCCCGCCGCGGAGGCGCCGCCGCTGCCCCCGGACCCCACCCGGACCCCCCGGCCCCCTCAGCCCCTCGGGCAGGCGCGAAGATGGCGGAGGGTCCGCGCCCCGCTGCCCCCGCACTCACCTGTCAGACACGGCCGGGCGGCGGGCGCGGAGGGGCAGGGCCGCGGGCGGCGCGGAGCGGGAGCAGGAGGAGGGGGAGGATGAGGACGGCGAGGAGGAGCAGAAGGGCGGGAGGTGCAGAGGCGGCAGCAGCAGCAGCACCGACGATCCCGGCGCCGCTCGGGCAGGACGCGCCTCCCCGGTGCGGAGCCCTCAAGGCGACATCCGGCGGAAGCGGCGCGGCCCCCGCTCCGGGCCGCGATGGCGACGGGCAGGGGCAGGGGCAGGGGCAGGGGCATGGGGAGCCTCCCGGGGCAGGGAATGGCACTCGCTGGGGGAGCAGCCCGCGGGATCAGGAACGGCACCGGGCCGGAGCTGCCCCGTCGCCGCCCCGCGGCTCATCCCCGCTGACCCGGGTCAGCCCTGGGTCAGCTCAGTGCTGTGTTCAAACAGCTCAGTTGTGTTTCACCCCGACCGTCGCCTCTCGGGGGTAACTGTGTTGCTCTCTACAGCTCCCTGAAAGGAGGTTGTAGCCAGGTTGGGGTCGGTCTCTTCTCCCAGACAACCAGCGACAGGGCAAGAGGGCACGGTCTTAAGCTGCGCCAGGGGAGGTTAAGGTTGGACATTGGGAAGAAGTTCTCTACAGAGGGAGCGATTGGGCGTTGGAGTGGGCTGCCCAGGGAGGTGGTGGAGTCACTGTCCCTGGAGGTGTTTAAGAAGAGACTGGATGTGACAGTGCCGTGGTCTGGTTGACAAGGTGGTGTTGGGTCACAGGTTGGACTTGACGATCTCAGCGGTGTTTTCCAACCTAGTTGATTCTGTGATTTACTGTTTACTGTTAACACTGTTTTAGTACATCCAGTAACACTGGACCACTGTGGACTGACAAGGGAGATGAAACTTCCCTGAAACACCACTGGAATTCCATATTTTTAATAGAGAATGGCTGGGAAATACTGCATCTGGACTTTCTCTACTGCGTCTGCAGATGGTACGACAGAAGCAGTGTATCAAAGCTAGCCACGATCTGCAAGTAGGCTGTTCACTCTGAAGCCTACAACACATAATTGAAATGTGATTAATTCCTCTGATGATTAACACTTAGAAGAAACCTTCACCTAAAATTCTTATTCAATGTAGCAGATAGTGAAAGTCAAAAGAGGCCTTTGCCTAATTATTTTCCCTCTTCCTGCAGATTATCTAGCTGCCTTAGAAGAGGTCTGTGAAAAGGCCAGAAGAACATGTGCCTCAGTAGGGCTGGAAATATTACATTTTCTTTTCATGTGCTTCCCAGTCTGCCAGCAGTTCTTTTTTGTCTTCTTTTTCCTTTCTATCCACTTCTATGCAGTCATATCTTAATTAAAGCTGTATTAAACATGGACAAAAATAGTGATTTACCTATTTACTAGCTTATTTTTCATTACTGGAGGTCATTCTCCAAGACAAGCAGCCTAACTGGTTGAGAACTTCCCGTAATTGTAGCCTATTTGCTTCTTCAAAGCCACCAAAAAGAAGCAAAATGAATAGCTAAATGGCTTTAAGGAGTGGAAAAGAAGGGAGACTGCACAGGCAAAAGGAGACAAGAGGTAGAACAAAGTTGCCTGGAGGAAGCCTGAACACAGCCTGACCAAATGCCACTGTTTGATGCTTTGAATTCTCTCTCCAGATGGTGCACCTGCAGTGGCTCAGCCATCTCAGCCAAGGCACAACTCAAGTCCCCAGCTGTTCAGTTCCTAACAATATATTTTTTAAGCCTCATTATCCCAACCAAAATTACTTTGCCCTAATATAATACTACTGTACCATAACAGCTTTAGCTGTAACTAGGAAGGAAAAAAATTTCCAGTGAGAGCACAAGGATCCATGTTTGAGATTTCCCTTGGAAAACACTTGGCAAATTTGTTGTCCTCTGGAACAGCTCACTTTCAAGCAGCAGGGTATAATACAGAGATGACCATTTTTTTCCTGAAGAAACATAAAATACTAAAATAAACAAAGACAGGGATTTAAACAAGTACAGGGTTCTTCACCTGAAAACTAACAGGAAATCCCAAATAGCCTGGAAGTGTCCTACATCTGTACAGATGCTGTTGCTTTTTCATGACAAGTGGCCTGTTGTCACTCCAGCTTTGCTACTGATTTGGCTTTGTCATGGCAGTGCAAGAGTAGCAGGCACTGTGTAATGTACAGGAGCAAGAGCAGAACAAAAGACTGCTTTTCACAAACTACCTGTTTTTTTTAAAAGAGACAAAGATAGGAATACAGGAGCCTGGGGAAACAGGAGGGGCAGTACCAGTCAGCATCTCTTCAACAGGTAAGAAGCCTTCATAATAAGCATTGCAATAAACTGAGTGGAAAAAGTTAGGTTGTCTTGGACATAACCTTCCAGACCTACTTCTGAATAACAGCTGAATCTCCCAAATTAACATTTTTCAAAGCTGTAAAAGTAGCAGGAAAGAACAAAGCCTCTGTCCAGAGTTCAAACCAAAAGTATAAAAAAAAAAAAAACCAACCAACAAAACAAAAATATTTAAGAGATCAAGCATTACTTCTTCAAATAAGAATCTTTCTAATAAATCCTTCCTAAAAAAGCCATTTCCTATACAGTTATTCATTCACCTTATGCTGTACAAAAACATTTGGAAGCTGTCCATCATAGCACTCTTTCCATCACACTTGAGATAGCAAACCTTAATGCAAATACAACATCCTACTTATATATTTAGCATACATGTATTACATTTTTACTACAAAGCCATCTGTCTTCCCTGAAGCAAGCTGAAGCCAACCCTCTTCTCTGAAACAGGCCGTTTAGGAAAGCAGATTGAAGTAAACAACAGCAGATTAGTTAAGAACGGGAGGTATTTACCTCCCATTTCAGATAAAACTCAGGTTTTTGTTCACTCTGCACCTAAGTGGATCACTTAGACAAATATTTTCTGGAGAGCTATGACTACAAGGCAGGAGCAGGCTTCCAAGAGGAATTCTCCAGGGAGATGAGGAAAAAGGATAGTTCTATAGCTGAGAAGATTGAACTGGAAGTCTTAAACATCAGAGCAAGTGAACAGGAAGATGAAAAAGAAGGTTGGACGTGAAGTGTGGGAAAAAACCCCTTAATATTCCTTGGCAAATCTGAAAACCAAGGACAAGCATGTTTCAGCAGTCTGTGCATTCCAGACGGGTCAAATACCAGGTTTGTTCAGAATTTACTTCATCCTGTGGTTCACAGGATGAAGTTTTTTGTTTAACTTGCTGGAGAATTAAAATGTTCTCCTCCAGTTTGATGGAGGTTGCATTTCCCTTTATTTTCGTAGACAGCAAAAGCCTGTCAGTGATTTGCAGCTGATTGGATTTTCAGGAGAAATTAAAGCCTTCCCAGTGGTGACAGGAAAAGGTTTTCCCCTTGTTTGTAGTGTTTGAAAATAGTCAGCAGGCTTCAGGAGATGCATAAATTAAGTCTCAAAGGCATTTATATGTCACTCCAGGCATTCTTCTGTTTAGGTGGGGTGGAGTAAAAGCTCTGAGGTTTCAGTGAGGTGCGTACCACTACAAAAATTAGGATGCTTTATTTTCATCATAAAGAGCTTTGAAGGTACAGAGAAAGTCTGGAGCAGAGCAAGATGAAAGATAATACTGGTGACATAAAACACCTCATCCTGAAAGTGTTTTTTGTTAAAGGCTTGGGAGGTCTCTCCCTTGTTTGTTTTGTGAAAATGTTTGGGTTTGTCTCTGTCATCTTTCGTGCCTCCTCCTTTGCCTCTCATTATCCAGAACTTGTCACTCGTGCTCACCAGCCTTGCTGCAGGTGAAGTGCTTTGTTTGTCTGGGCAAGACAGAAACTGTAGTTGTTTCTGACTGTCAGGTTCAAAAGTGCCTGTATAGCAGTTCTCAATAGCTATCAAAAGGAAAATAAGAATCTCTTTCCTTTTCTCAGTTATCTATAAGGACATTTTTTTTTATATTTCCCTCTGCTGTGTAGCCTGAACATCACTGTGCACACCTGCTCACTGGTGTCACACATCAGTTGTGCTTCATGTACAGACCCCACCTCTGCCTCTCGGGGTAGAACTTCCTATTCCCAAAGAGCTTTACTTGCAGGAGAGCTGCTTGTTAACTCTGTTGTCTCCCTATGAAGTGCTGGTTTGTCCATCTCAGTAGTTATATTTTTGATAGGTTTTTGAAGCTTGTTTGGTTACATTAGGAAAATCATAGAGTGAAAAATTACAGATTTTTTTTTTATCTGGAACAATCAAATGAGCAAGTGATTGATGTGGTAAAGGATGTTCTCCCTATTTCAACAAAGCTCAGTCTCCAATTACTGTGTTTTCATGCCAAACAGTGACTCAGCAATAAGTAATCTGTTAAGTAATGATAAGTAAAGTCAATAAAAAGTAATCTGTGTACATTTCAGTCCTTTGTGAGAATACATATTTATGTTAATGTTCTTATGATATCATTAAATCTGTAGTATATTGATGAATAGCAAAACATTAACGTTTAATACTAATTTTAATTGATTCATACCAATGATCTGATGTTATATTTTATGTAGTTAAAGGGAAATGCAGCAGCTGGGTCATTCTTACTCTTTCTTACCTTTTGATATTTGTTTTGTTTTGTTTTGTTTTTGTTTTGGTGGTTTTTTGTTTTGTTTTGTTTTTGTTTGTTTGTTTGTTGCTTTTTTTTTTTAACTTTTGATTAAACCACTTCCACACTCCTTTCATGAAGCTCTGCACAGGGGAACACTGTAAGGTACCACCCTTGTAAAATATTAACTGTCCATTTGAACATTTTATGCTGATAATGGTATCTCTAAATGACAGGCCATCTGTCCTGTTCTCAGGAAAAATCAAACCCACCAGATGGAAATACTGGAACTTGTGCTGAGAGACAATCAGAAAGAGCCATGTCCCCAAGGCATGTGAAATGTCACTTCTAGGCCTTTTATGGAATCTAGTTATAAATCCAAATATGTGGACAGGCAATAAAACAGTAAAAGTCTTGCTGAGAAGGTACTCAGCTGTGGTGGTGTGAACTTTCTAGAGGCTGCTATTGAAGTTTCTCTGCCTCTATCTGTGCATATCTATAACTCCCGGAGCTGAGCAGAAATTCCACAAACACCCCCACGTCTGTAGGAGCGGCGCTTGGGCGCGGTCCCTCGGTTTTCGTGGATGGGTGAAAAGACAACAGGCAGCGCTCAATGTTAGAAATTAGTCAAGCTTTGGACACTGGAATGGGATGCCCAGGGAGGTCCCTGGAGGTGTTTAAGGGCAGGGTGATGTTGGGTCATAGGCTGGATTACATGATCTCAGAGGTCTTTTCCTGCCCAATTAATTCTGTGATTCCTGGTTACTGGGAGAAGCTGAAGGCTTCTTCCTGCTAAGGAAGGCCGGTCCCGGTCCCGGTCCGCCTCCGCCGGGGTCGGTGCCTCAGACAGCCCCTCCCGCCCTGCCGGGCGTGGTCCAAAGCGGCCGCCCAGCTCCTATTGGCCGTCCCGCCACTACTCTCTCTCCTTATTGGCCAGCGCCCCCTCCTCGCCGCGTCGCAATTGGCTGTTCCCGCCGCCTCTCCCCTCTGCCACTGCTGGCCCCGCCCCCCGAGCCGCAGTGGGGCGATCGGGCGATGGGGTGACGTCAGCGCCGCGCGGCGCCGCCATTGGCGGAGGCGGCGGGCCGCGCGATGTGGCGCGCGCTGCGCGGGGCCGGGCGCGGGGTCCTGCGGAGCGCGCGGGGGCTGAGGGGCCCTGAGGAACCGGCCGGGCGGGCGCGGAGGTGAGAGGGGACAGCGCGGGGACACCACGGGGACCGGGCTGCTGAGGGGCACCGGCGGTGATCCTGCTCCTCTCCTCAGCCCCGGTGAGGCGCGTCCGGAGCGCTGTGTCCAGTTCTGGGCTCCTCAGTACCAGAGGGACGTGGGGCTGCCGGAGCGGGTCAGCGCAGGGCAGCGAGGGTGATGGAGGGACTGGAGCATCTCTCTCCTGCGAGGAAAGGCTGAGGGAGCTGGGCCTGTTCAGCCTCGAGAAGAGACGGCTGAGAGGGGTCCTCATCAGTGTGTATAAATGTCTGAAGGGGAGGTGCCGAGATCCAGGCTCTTTTCCATGGTGCCGAGCAGTAGGACAAGAGGCAGCGGGTGGAAGCTGGTGCATAGGAACACCATGAGGAGAAACTTCTTTACTGTGCTGTGACCGAGCACTGGAACAGGTTGCCCAGAGAGGGTGTGGAGCCTCCCTCACTGGAGATATCCCAGGACCGTCTGGACAAATCCTGTGCCGTGTGCTCTGGGACGGCCCCGCTTAGGCAGGGAGGCCTGGCCGGATTACCCGCCGTGGCCCCTTCCAGGCTGACCCATCTGTGGCTGAGCTGAGGGAGCACACACGGCGGCAGAGGCTCGGGGAAGGGCGGGGATGGCTTTTGAGGTGCCTGGGGCTGCGTGTCCCGGTCGGGGAACCTCGTTCCCGAGCCCTTAGGGGTGCCCGGTGTTACAAATGTAACCAGTCCCTGTGTGCACAACACGCGCGGACGGTGGGGTGAGTGAGGTGTGGTTAAATTTGGAATTGGATGTCCTACCGCTGCCAGCCTGCAAAAATGTGAGGCTTAGCACGGCTGTCCTGCAAGCAGCTGCTGCACGGGCTTCGTGAGAGAGGAAAAATAAATGTTTCAAGTACCTTCCAAGTACTGCCGTGTGATTTGTGTCGCGGGCAGGAAATTTCAGGAACCTAAAAGTGTGTAACTCCCATCCCCAAAATACAATTGGTGCACTGTTTACGCCATGTCAGAAAACTGAGTCGTTTGATTGTTTCTCACGGTCTGCCCACAGCCTTGCAGATGTTGTTATTCCTGAATGACTACTCATTGTTTGTTTACAGTAGAACCTGTGCTACCATCATCATGCCTGAAGTAAACACAGACCACCTGGACGAGCAGCAGGTGCAGCTCTTGGCAGAGATGTGCATCCTTATCGATGAAAATGACAAAAAGATTGGAGCGGATACCAAGAAAAACTGTCACTTGAATGAAAACATTGATAAAGGTACAGCTTACTTACCTTCTAACTGAACCATTAAGCTGACTGAGTATTTTCAGAAGTATAGTCATGATTAAACTGAAGCCTTAATATTAGGTGAGAGTTGGATCAAACTAGAGCAATTCCCCCAGCACCTCCTCCCCAGCGAGCAGCATCTAATGTTAAAATTCTGTGATATGAGGAACACTGAATTAGAGGCAGTTGCAAAGGAGAGAAATGTGTGATTCCAGATACAAGCTATGTCTTGATAAATACTTTTGAATCATATTTTGAAAATGAAATAGAATTTTTTTCCTATTTTTTTTCCTATTTTCTGAAGAATGCCACTTGCTTCTTTGCTGAGTTATTTACAGGTAGAAGAGACTTTGATTCTGAAGTAGTTCACACAGAGTTCTAGTTCAAATACTGATGATACAAGGGGTTTAACTGACTGTGGGTTTATTTGAGGTTGGTCAGATTCATGAATCTTTCATAGTGGTATGTGACCTCCTTTTATGAAGCTGGGAAAGCATCTTCCTGGAGAATGAGGAATGGCAAACTCGAAAGGTGAAGGAAACAGCAATTCTGCACTTATACTGTTTGTAAGGGAGCCTGATTCCCTTGTACCTTTGCATTTCTTGAGATTCTTTACAGGTTTTTTGGATTTTTTGAGTCATCTCTTTTTGATAGTAATTTTTTGGATGCTTAGCCCTCCTTGGAAGCTTGCTCAAATGTGCACCTTCAGAACTGTGAACTGAGTTGAGTAGATCTCTTCTGTTGCATTGTTGTTCTTAACACTTTTCTAATTTCATAGTGTTTTGCCTAAGCTGACATAGAAACCCGAATAATAGCTCTGAGTTATCAAATCCTCGTCTTTTAACCTATATTAGTTTTAAATTGGATTACCCAAAAATGAGGCCATTCTAAGCCCTTAAACTGTCTTTATATGTTTTTTTTCTCTTCTGTTAAGTAGCTCAGGATTTTTTTTATTTTTTACTTTTAGGTTTACTACACCGAGCTTTCAGTGTTTTCTTATTTAATACAGAAAATAAACTGTTGCTGCAACAGAGGTCAAATGCAAAAATTACGTTTCCAGGTTAGTACTGAAACATTGTATTTATCAAAGTGTTTTATCGAAATCAGTATTTTAAAAAATTACATCAGTCTAATCCTGCAGTGTAATTCATTCTGAAGTTTTAGAATTTACTGCTTTGGAGAGGAGATACTTCCAGTACTTTTAAGAGTTCTAGTCAACTTGTACCTATCTTGTGGATGCAGTAAGATAGTGGGAACGCTAGGGTATTGTTATTGTAGTTCTTGGGAAAGAATTGTTCCCTGACAGGTTTGATCCTGTGGATGCAAGAGCAGAGGGTGTGTTGTTTACAAGACATATTTATTGAAGAAATGGCTCTGGTATCTGTGGAGAGTGTCTCATTGCACTGTAAAAGCTGATGTCAGAGCCCTGGTGCCTGGGAAATCTGTGGACCTTTGTCTGTATATGTCTTAAAAACACTTATTTAGCTATACAAGAAGTGAGACTGCGTGACCATGCAAATGGAGAGGCATAAAAATAACAAGGGGAATGAAAGAAAAGTAGCTTACATAAGACATGTTGGAGGGAGCATTAACTTGTCTGTTGTAGAATTTTCAATAGAAAACAAATTCAAGAATTTCCAACTTGAGGAGGAAAGACCTGTGTCTTCCTTCCAAAGGAATCTTTACTTTAGCAATTGATTGGTTAGCAGTGATTTAAAACCATTAAATTTAAAAATTAAAACCAAAATGCCTGAGTATGGTTTGTAGTTATTCTATTTTAGATGCTTTTGAGCTTGATTTTTATAGACAAAAGGTTGAAACAGAGTATAGATGGGCTGTCCTTTAAACACAAGTATAAACTTTGTATGTAATTCTACTGTCAGCTGGTCTTGAAGCTCTGGAAATATTTTCAATATTCTGTTGTATATAAACTCCCAAAAGTAATTTTAATTAGTATTTGAGGGATAAACAAGGTCTTTAGAAAACTGGCTCTCTAAGTGTCTTGGGGATAAGAATGCCTGTCTTCACGTGCATCAGCACTAACCTGCAAAGCAGTGCTTGGTGGAGGCAAATCCCACTGCAAAATATGTAAAGACAAATAATAGTTGAAAATATCCTCCACCTGTGACCCTCCTCTGGGAAAGCAAAGCAAAGATCTGATGTGTTGAATAACTGGTCTCTGGGGGGTTTGATTGTTTTGTTGCTTTTTCCCTGGTGCTTTATTCGTGTCAAAAATGTTCTAATCCAAACTTCTTGCAGATTGTTTTACCAACACTTGTTGCAGCCACCCTCTAAGCCACCCACTGGAACTGGAAGAAAAGGATGCCATCGGTGTTCGGAGAGCAGCACAGAGACGACTGAAAGCAGAGTTAGGAATTCCCATGGAGCAGGTAAAGGAAGGAGGGAGAAACAGGAATTCTTGTCAACATTTGCCAGTTTATCGACTAGCTGTGTCTGGCAGGCAGGGTCAGCCTCAAACCTAAAAATGCATTTAGCTTTGGAGGTGTAGAGAACTGAGTGAACTTGAGACTCCTATATTCCATACTCTCAAAAGCTTATCCCAGTAGGTGGTATTTTAGAATATTCCCCCTGAATACGAGCCAAAGAGTAAATCACACTCTGATGAAGGATTGCATGGCTCCATGTCTAACTGGCTGCTGATGGCAGTGTCATATGTGCTCACTACTCCTAGTGCTCCTGGAGGGCAGTGCTGTGAGCCTGCTGCCAGCACCTGTGGACAAGCCCCTCTGCAATCTCGAGTTTTCTGTGGGAATTTGGGTGGCCTGAATACTTGGTGTTTCTGCCAGAGTGGTCAAACAGCCCACTTCTGGTACCTTCCTTTCTGGAGGCAGTTTGGGGGTGCACAGAGGGCAGGGTGAATTATGCTCTGGGTTGAAGTCTGTTTCCACGTTAATTCCACATAAATTACGTTTCTGCCATGGGACACAGAGCAGCAGCTCCCAGTGCTCCTGGGAAATATGGTGGTGAGGTGGTGCCCGGAGTTCACCACCCAGGGATCCCTGGAGGTCAGGGTCACACAGCTCTGACCTTGGCTTCAGGTAGTTGCCAGGCCCTTTCCTTGGGAGGTGAGGGGTAGGTGTAAGTGTTTGTGCTCACCAGTGCTCAGTAAGTGTGTGGCAAGGTCTAGTAAATGTTACTTAAAATTTGCTGTGTAGGAGAAATGCACTGAAAATACTACAGGGCAAGTATGATTAGAGAAATGCTGTGCCATTCACACCATCAAAGTGCTTTAAAATTTCTTTTTGTAGTAACTTGTGAAGAGGTGTACATTGCAGTTGTACACTTGGGAGAAAATAACTTCTGAGGAAGAGGATGATAGCTGATAATAGTATTGCAGTGCCCAGCAGGGCAGTTGTTCTGGTCTGACAATCACAAGTGTTTTGGTTGTAGGTAACTCCAGAAGAAATCTCCTACCTGACACGAATTCACTACAAGGCCAAGTCTGATGGGATCTGGGGAGAACACGAGATAGACTATATCTTATTTGTACAGAAGGATGTGACACTGAATCCCGACCCCAACGAGATCCAAAGCTACTGCTACGTGACACAGAAAGAACTGAAACAGCTCCTGGACAAAGCTGCCAAGAATGAAGTGAAGATCACTCCATGGTTTAAGCTCATAGCAGAGACCTTTCTGTTCAAGTGGTGGGATAACTTAAATAACTTGAACAAATTTGTTGAGCATGAAAAAATACACCGAATGTAAATAGCTGGGGTGAAAGGTGCTGAAGGCCAGCAGTGGTGTGCTGTCTCATTGACACGGTGGTAAATCATGACTTGGGTGCAGAGAATTGGTCCACCCGGAGCACATTTAGTATCTTGGTATAGAGGTTGTTATAGCCAGTGTTTTTTCTTCTGCTTTCATCACCTCCTCTGCCCCCTCATCCTTGTTCTCCTGTGCAAATTACCTTGATCTAATGTAAAATGGGTAGCAATGGCATGAACCCCCTTTGCCTGGTGAAAGATCCTCACCCCATGTGTGCCCTGCACACCTGGGGAAGGGCGCCTGGCTCAGCTGGGAGGGCTGGTCCCTTCCGACCGAACAGGACTGTGACTGAAATGATTACCCGTGAATTTGGGTTCTGCACTGATGCTGGCTGAAGAAAAAAAACAATTAGTGCAAAGTAATCAGGATTATTTTAATTGCAGAAAGCAAATCTCTTCAGCTACTATAGTCTATAATTAACCAAACACATAAAAGCTTAAGTAATTGGATTGTCAGGGTGGAGTGAGTTTCACTTTGGAGTGCTGAGTTGTGTGTCAGGCCTTTAGGTAACAAACAGTGGGTGGTCTGTTTGGGTTTTTCTCCCCAACACCCTTTTCTGGTTATTTGAAGTCTGAGTACTGGACATCTCTCACATAACAAAAGGGTTAATTGTGCCAAATGTAAATGGTACCTAATATAGGAAGTAGCCTGTCTTTGGAGATGGGATATGCACTAAATGGCTCTTCTCTATCTTCCAGAAAACAAAGGCATCTTGAAACATTTTTTTCTCCTGAAACATCTCTTGTAATAGTCATTCCCAGACTACTCAAACCCACCGAACTCCAAAATTCAAGACAATTTCTGGGCTCACACTGAATCTTGATGTCAGTTAGTTAGAAACTGTACCAGAGCTAATCCTTTTTGATCTTGCAGTCAATGGCTAGTAACATGAGTAAAATGGAAGCTGTTTTTCAATAAGACGAATTCTTGTGTCTCAGTTTGAATTAGATTTTGGGGTTGTATTTTCTCTACAAGAGCTTAATTGTGATTTCTTCTGTTAGCACGCTACTCAAACTAGATTTCTTAAGCCAACTTTTCCTAGAGGTGTCTTAAAGAAATAGGATGTTTGTCATTCCACTTCTCATTGCATGAAAAACATGGTTGTAATTAGTCCGTGTCTGGTTTAAGGGTGAAATTAACTTTTTCCTGTGGTCAGGGTTTCTCTTTCTCACCCCAGCTGTGACTGCAGCACCGAAGCTCCTCTGCACCAGTATCTCAGTGGTTGAACACTTAAAAGGTTTTAAAGCCAAGATTGCTGTATGTTGACCAGAACTGATGTACTTTACTGAAGTAAATAACAGTGGGGAGGGAACAGTGCTGCGATGGAGCAGCTCCCTCCACTTCACTGCAATCAACTGCGTTATCCAGCTGTAGGTAATTACAGTTCTTTTCAAATACTTCAAATGCTTTTAAAATCTAGGATTATCCTAAAGATTATGATTAAAATACCTAACCTAAAACCTTGGACTGTTGTTTTCTTTTCAGACATGAAGCCACACGAGAATTATCTCTGTCATCACTACACTATGAAAACCATCCTGCCCCTCACACGCCACTAAAGCAGCAGCAGGGGGGTAGCAGGGCACAGATCTATTAACAACAAAGTTCTGGTTTTCTAGTTCAAAGGGCCAACTTGGAGCAAAAGCTGGCAAAGCATATCCAGAAGTGGAAATATTGTGCGTAAGGCAGGTGAAAGAAAAGTTTTGCTAAACATTTCTTCAACATCCCTTAGAAGTTCTGTTATCAAAGTTTTTCTTCACATTGAATGTCTTCACAATATGAATTACAATTTGTCTTACTACTAAAATTATTACACGAAGGAGAGGAGGGAAACAATATGGATTTACACATGAAGATCCAGTATGCTAAAGCGGACATCTGAACACTCTTCTTACTTGTAGTATTTAAAAATAATAAATAAATTTAAGGGTTCTCCCCTCCTGCTTTTTTCAAGTGAGCATTAGTTTTTAACATGCATTTTACGTGTACTGTTCAGGCAACACATTTATAATGCATAACTTTACTAACATCTGCGTAACTATTGACCAAGTAAGGACAAAAAGGAAATATTTCACATTTGGCAATATCTTTTGCCTTGAACAGGTAGTGCTTGCTTCAGTGTTGACATTCCTGAAGAGAAATTGTTTCCCAAGCTGAGGGTGGCAGCAGCATAACTCACACGTACTCAGGACCAAATGTCAGTCTGACCCTCATTCTCTATTTATCTGAAATATTATTAAACTAAAAAAGTAACACTTTTAAGGTGTAACCTTCCCTGCCCATGCTGTTATTACAGAGGGCAGGTCAGTACTAAAACTGCAATTTCTCCTCCAGTTTCAGTCACTATTTAGCTCAGTAAACTGGCAGCATTTCTCCCCTACATTCAAAACTGGTTCAGTGCTCAACCACCAACTTGGTGCAGTCCTTGTTAAGTCCCTTGTTACTTCCCCACCAATTTCAGCCTTCACCTGCAACATAAACTCACATTCTATACATTGAAGAATTACTTGCACACAGAAACCCAAAGCTTTGTGAAGCTGGGCATTTTTAATTTTGATAGTATTTTAACAGGTAGGTCACATTTTCAGGTTTAACTTCACTCTAAATTAGTTTTAGATACAAATCTAAGTACTTTACTGATACATGAAAGTCAGGAATAAGAAAATGAAACTAAGTAACTTTTATGTCACTCCAGAAATGGGTTTCTGCCACTGGTTATTGAGAAATTTCTCACTGTATTGCTTAGAAGAACTGCAAGACCAAGGTATTAGAACTTTGAGCTTGAATTATCTTAACCACCAACACAAACTAAGTGCTTCTTAAACACTTTCTAATAGTAAAAGGAAGACAGGACTGGAAATTAATTTAATAAACTTAGTTTTTAATTTTGATTCACAAGACTGTTTATCTTCTCTGTGTTTTACCAGATTTTCTCTTTCCAGCCAGCAGATGTTTTGGCTTCAAGTCAAATATGTGTCTGTCTGCCTCTCCTTTCCTGCCCAGGCGATTCATCTTCTTCTGAGCTTTCTTTGCCATGGTCTTGACCTTCTTCACCATCTATTTAAAAACAAACAAACAAATATGCAAAGTAACTTCCTCAGTAATTCAGGTAACAAGCTTTACCTTTCAAAAACCCACTGAGCTGGATGGTTTTAACAAGGACACTCACACACCCAACTCTGGAGCACTAGCCCTGCAGATGACACTAACCCTCCTTAGCAGAACTTTTTCCAGTACACAAACATAGGATCTTGTTACCCCTGGAATTCCTCACTCACTAAAGGTGGTAGTTCTACCACAGTTGGTAGAATTCTTCCCTCAGACTTAGAAAAAAAAATTTAAAATGTGCTCCCTTGGTCTGTATTTTTAAGTTATTTTTATGAAGGATGTTGGCACTCCTGAAATATAGAGAGTTCAAGATGCTGAAGCTGCAAAGAGACCCAACGTGAACTCTGGACAAACATAACTAGCCTGCTCTGAAGTTTCCCAGGAGCTGGTTTAAGTACAATCACGCTGGTTTAAGTGCCATAGGGGTAAATAACACACCTTTTCATCACGAAGTCCAGACACATCCCGGGGTGTGCGGGAGCAGCTGCGGCTCCGCGCCACAGATTTGGGGGTTTCAGACTCATCACGTTTACGTTTCCTTGTGGTGCTACGGGACCTTCTCACATAATGTGCCTGAAATTTAAAACATCACTTTAGTCATTAAAACCAGAAACAATCAGCTCAGACATGCTCCATTTCTGATCCAAGGAAAAATAGGACGTGTACTGCTGTGATAAATTACATCGGTTATTCCATAGTAGTGTAAAGATATTGTCAGCTGTTGGTCACTGACTCCCTGTCCTCAGTGACACATTTCAATGAATATTAACTTTTTCCCTCTACAATTACTAACCACAGTTTTCTGCGTTTTCTGAGTACACTGATAAGTAATTCATAAAAAGACACAAATTAATGGATAGCAATGCTGAAACAATTTTGCAACAGCAAAAAAGCAATGAAGAAACCTACCCCGATTAGTGTCCTGTGTACAGGGCAAAGCCCTAAGGATTTCAGACATGAAGACTTATCATGCTATAGCATAAGTATTAAATTCCTTCTCACTGAGATCATTCCTACATCAAACGGATGTCAGCTCTGAGAACAGTAAGTGCTTGCTTCAGACAGTGCTGACATTCCTTGTTTCCTAACTCCTTGTTTAGCTAAAGAATTTGAGGTCTCAAGATCTAGAGAGCCATAATACTGCTGGATTTGCTGCACAAAATGGATTTTTTTTTCCAATTTCAGTTAATGTCTCCTGAAGGCAAATCTATATTTGAAGTACTTTACCTTTAGTTATTTTATCTAAAGATGCCAGCTGCCCTCAAAAATTTCAATTACAGCTCAGAGAATGCATGAACTGTAAAATGATAAGCCTGACGTGTCATTATTACTATTTCTGTCAGTCTCATCCAACACAGCAAACTTGAAAATTAAGAAGTATGTTTAACCAAAACCATTCTTGAATCCTACATAAATTCAAAGAAAGCAGTGCACATACATATGTGACTCTTGGTAAATGTTAGTTTAGTTTTCCAGCTTGCCCAACTTGTTTTGATCACATCACTCAAAAAATTGCAGTGCAACTGCCTCACCTGGGGTTTCTAGTATGTCCTTAACAGATCCCCCTTCTCTCTTGTGTTGACTGTAATAAGCATTTAAATTTAAATCTCTTTCCGATAAACACTGTGTTTAATTAGCAAAAACTTACATCATCTTTATTAGTCATGTCAAGTCCAAGATCAGTCATTTCTTTCTCTAGCACCTTCCGCTGGACCTGCAAAAAGACAGTGAAGAAAACATTTCTTTCAGAAAAAAATGGTTCCACCTTATCTCAATATACCACCACAAGCCCATTATATTCACTATATATTTTTCCTTTGCCACATCCCAGAAGCAGATAATTGAAGTCCTACCTTCACATTTCATTTTTTTGCAACTTAATTCTCTTCACCCATAAATCCTGCAATGGCCCAGCATTTTCTAAAGATCTCATAAATACTTTGCCTTTTTTGAAAGGCAAAGAGAGGTATTTCAGTCAGAAATGTTTCCTTTTCTCCCAAAAGGCACAAACTTCGAAGAAGGTAAGAGATACTGGGAGCAACATCAGCTAGATTCCCTTTCTCAAAATGTGTAGTTATGAGCTTAGTAATTTGCAATCGTCCTGGACTGGTCACAAGAGATTCTGCCATCAGAAAGGGTAATACCTGGCTTCCAAAAAGAAACAACATCTTTTCAAGCACTGGGAGAGCCTCAGAAAAAATGTTACGTGATTGTGACTTTAAGTAATTATCTAATTCTTCTAATTTTTTTAACTTAAAACAGCCAACCAACAAGAAAAAACCATAAAATTATATAACAACCTGATTAAACAAACTGAATCGTGTTATTAAAAAACTTTTTCTGCACTGTATTTGGAATTTTACAAAAGAAACACTTATGTGACACAGAAGTAAAAGGGCTGCTATCCCTCACATGGTATGGCCTCCACAGCTAAGTAGTTACCAGGACTCCAGGGAGGACAGAAGGAAGCAAGCGAGAGGGCCAAGCAGGAGAAAAAGCCATCAGTTCCACTAACTGGTACTGTTCCAGGTTTTCATGATGTTATTACACAGAAGCAAGATTTTATTGCAGAACACATTCTGTACTCACCTTTTTAGCTGTTCTAGGCATCCTTGGACCATGAACATCTTTTTCCTTTGACTGCAGGATTTTCAGTTTCTTCTTTTCTCGGATCTTCTTTGCCAATCGACGGATTTCCATCATTTCTTCATCCTCACTCTCTGGTTCGCTGTCATATTCTCCAGCAGCTTCTCTCAGCTCTTCCTCTTTCTCCAATTCTTCCAGTTTCTTACATTTTGAAAAGGTGAAATGGAAATCAGATCCTTGACTTACAGTCATTAACGTTACATTTCTCCACAGCCCG